AGGATGCTTTTGTCAGGCATGGCGAGAAAGGACCAGAAAACATTATGAGGATAGAAACCAAAAAGTATTTGGTTATCCGGGTCTCCTCAAACTTGTCCTTCTCAATGCGCCATGAGAAATCGGCCAGAAAGGCAGTCGCCGTTTTAAGGATGATCAGACGCGCCTTTTCTCATGTCACTCACGTGGGCTTCCAAATAATCTGCGAGGCCTACGTCAGACCGCTCCTGGAATACACCAATCACGTTGTCTACTCAGGACGCACGAAAGACGTCACCCTCATTGAGCGTGTCCAGCGGGCCGCTACGAGAATGGCTGCCGGTCTCATATCCGTAGACTACGACACCTATCTCGCGATGCTTGATCTCTTTCCCTGGAGTATTGTCACCACCGAGGGCATCCAATTCTTACTTATGCCCTGTTTGAACAATGCTTGGCCATGTGGCGTTTTGTACCTTTGTTTTACTTCCATTATAACACTACGTATTTCATCAATTGCATAATCGTTTTTGTTTGAATACGAAAAACTACAAAATGCGCACTTGTACAATTTCACGTAATACGAGCGTGTTCACGTGCTTCGACTTTCCTGGTTTCGCTCGCGCTTGCAGCGGTCATTCGCGAGTCTCATGTACTAACTCTGGTACCAAAACATTTCAGACCATCTTCGAAATCTATCATATGTGGGAACTGTTCAAAGGAAGACCTCTGGACCAACATAATTGGATTATTGTTTATTCGCTGACCTGGGCCAACGACGAACTATTTTGAAGAGAACAATTGTTAGTGAATCTGTTCCATTTGATTTCTTTATTTTTGTATACCCAACCTAGCGTAATTATTTTTATCTTTTTGCCACACACCCCTGAAAAGCTAACTCATTCGTTAGCCAGACCACTACACCCAACAGGTTTTTGACGGTTGACCCAGAAAGCACATGATGGGGACATGGTAGGAAAATTTTCAAGCTCAGAGCGCACTTATTCATGGGAAAATTTTTCTCATTTCGGGTAGCAGCTGTGTAGAATAACCGTTCTCCGATAGTTGTCCACGCTCCTGTTAGAACCCAGTTCAAAGCACTGTTAGACACTTATTTATGCGAATCCTCGCGCTGGCAATCATACTGCTTCGCGTTGAGAACGTAAAGAGTAGTGCTAAATACTTTTTTCACATGTGCCTTTCAGGCGAACGACAGCCGCTGAACGGCGAAAACAAAACTAACTGGGGAAGCTTGGGTAAAACCCTTGATCATGTGTATCAATCCGTGAATCCGTGAGTTTTGTCGACACACTGGGTGTCATGACAATATTCTAGCCAATCAGACACGAGCTTTTGCTTTGGTCCGCCGCTGTGTAGTGTGCTCAGATGATTTCTCTTGGCACGGGCGTGATTCTTAAATAAAGCATATCACTGAATATCACTTTTACCGCAGTTTCCCGATTTCCCAGTGCATATGAACCAAATAGGATTCTATTTATGAAGGGCTTAATAGGATTTCAACAACGGCGGATTACACGGCTTCTACAAGCACGCAGTGCGAGCTTTCTTGGCACAAATCAGTGATGCCACTCAGCGACGATGCATAACTGTAGTCGACGATGGGGTCACAGTTTGTACGGGATGAAAGAAGAGAAAATTCATTTTAGGCTGTATTAGCATCAGCCATGGCTCAGTGGTTAGAGAGCGAATTTACTGACCGGAAGGTCCGCTGTTAGAACCCGATTTCTGCCTCTTGAATTTCCATGTCTAGGCTTGGGCAACCTGGCAGCATCCCAGCCCTCATGCTTCCTTCAGGTGGCATTGTAGTTAGGCACCGAAATAGTGTTACAGCTGAACAATTCGATTCGATTCGAACCCCCAAAACGTTAGGAAAATGCTGTATTCTAGAAGTTAAGTAGACCTATCAAGGTTTAATATGCAGTGTTTAACGAAACTTCTACCCGGAGGACATTGGCCTCAACTTGAGTGAAATGGCTGTAGTTATACGTGATGCCAGAAGTGCCGCATGTAGTGTTTCCAAATGCGTACGCGAAAGCCTCTGGGTCACTATCACTCGTTGATACGAAGCGCTGATCCGTTGAACTCAGATCATCATTCGGCTCGAGAATATGGTAAACATTGGCCCAAAAAGCGCATTTGTGGGTAGCGACATCGTGGAACCCGGAAGGACTGGAAAGACCTAGTGCGATAGGAAAACCATGGAATCAGCCGTTACAGATACTCCGCTGAACAAGGTATGGGGACTCTGTATTACCAAGTTACAGATGGTAGTGAAAACCCAATATCTAATAAACGCACTATATAACTAGGCCATGTTAGCCTCACCCAGCTATTTTAGGTGGTGCTGAATGCCTCTTTGACCTTCACTCGGTTGTGCGAATCCATATGGAAACAAAATGCATCCCAGCTAATTAAGACCAATCAGTCTGCATTCGAAAAAAATATATCCGAGCTGACTGTTCCAGTCGTAAACGTATAAGCTTTACACTCGTCGTAACACGGCTCCCGGTTTACCTAATATTGCAGCTGCTGAATTCTGCTCTTTAGGTGCAAGTCCAGAGGCACAAAGTAAATTTCTAACCGAGCAGAGGTTACATTGGTCGCATCTTTACATTACTTCAAGCACTTCATCATCATCGGGGCGAGATGGCTCAAGTGGTTAGAGCGCGAATTTACTGACCGCAAGGTCCATGGTTCGAACCCGATCTTTGCTTTTCGACTTCCCCTGTCTAAGCTTGGGCATGGTGGCTAGACACCGAAAGGGTGTTACAGCTGGACGATTTTCATCATCATCAGAGACAGCAACATCACTGTTGACAGTCATGCTTCACTGCCGCACAACGCGTGCATATTATTCATGGTTTCCTTTGACGCACTCCTCACCTTCAAAATCCCAAGCCTTTATTCGAGATTCCTCACCCCCTTGCGACTTTCTCATAACTAATCAAGAAAATCTCATGTTTGTTGGTCGATCCACACACTGGCAGCTGCATGAGCCGGGTGACGTAAATACGAGCATCAAGTCAGTGGCAGTGTTCGCCAACTGGCATTTGTGCTGCCGGAGACGAATTTTATACGAGCGATTTCACTCTGTAGTTGTCAAACTTGGCTTCTCTCCACGTGTCTTTGACGCCTGGGTACCTGGTATGACACGAGTTAGCTAGGTGTGACATCTACTTGAGCGGGGTCTTGGCAACCATTAGTTATCGGTAGAATGACAAACATAGCTTACCGGGCTAATGTTGTTTGGCTGTGCTCTGTGCATTCCAAAGTGATGTCTTCCGTTCCAAATCATTGGCGAAAAGTTTTCGAGGGACAGACTATGGTATGTCAATGTTAACTGGAAGCGGCCTCGGTTGGCATCAGTACCATGGGGCCTTCGCGCTTTCTTGACTGTGGCCCAGCCGATCATCTCTGTACTTTGCGCATAACCGATCCAAGTGACGCACATGCTGTCACTTCCTTGCCGGGTTGCCCAGCTAAAGTTCGCCTGTCGCGTGCTGAACTTGCTTTAGATGGGATTCGCAATGGACGTTGTGTCAGCTCTCTGACGATGCTCTATCTCGATACTGTCACCATATATGTGAATTTCAATGTCTTATTCTTTATTGTTTTATCCAAAATTGGACCTTTTACCCTTCCTTTACCCTCTCTCCACATTTTAGCAAAGATTTCTTTCCTCGCGGTCGTGTCAGAATGTTTTACCGGTGTATAGCTGTCGATGATGGTGACTGGTTGTTTGGTGGGATCTCACACCAAAGTAGACGCTACTACGTCCAATAAGTATAACTCGTAAATGGTCGGTTAGAGATCGAGCCACTTGCTTTTCTAGCATGAAGGTGAGCTCTGAATGGTCAATGGGAACCCAACAGCCGATTGTGTTTCAGTATTCGCTGAATTCTGGTTGCTGTGGGCGCCATAAGGCGTCATACTATCCAGGATGTCGTTGTATACACGACACGCTGCGCATGTATTTTGGATTATTTTTGGCATTTAGTACACTTTATGTACTCCTGGTGGCTCTGTTAACAACGCTACCTTGGGAGGGTTAGACTGGAAACTGAGTTGGGGTGTTCCCGTTATTACACTTGTGAATAGCAAAAGCCCAAGGGATGAGGAAAACTTCTGGAACAGGAAGCAGCCATATCCTTTTTCAGACCATTCATCATGTTGGTCAGAAGGTGAGTGTCAGCCGAACAAGGATGGATTAGTGAAATCGTCATCTTGTTTGATGAGTTAAACACTTCGAGGAGCACTTCACATGGACTACCTCAACGCAGACTCCGGAAGTACTACATGGGACTTTCATACAATCATCCCTCACCAGTAAGAAATGGCTCCAATTTACTGACCGGAAGGTCTGTGGTTCGGACCCAACCTCTGTCTTGACTTTTCCTGTCCAGGCTTGGGTAACCTGACAGTATCTCAGCCTTCATGCATCCAGCCGGACGATTCTTCTTATTAATAACTGATCCAGCTTCCTATCCTTACCTTAACATTGTTTGAGGGAGACGGTAAAGCATTTGTTGCCGGTTTGACAAACCTGCTTCAGGCGATTTGGTATGAATGCAGGTACTCTAATAGTGATTTCAATCTTCAAAAAAGACCACAATGCTATTTCAAAACCACCCCGACGTCAGTTTATTAGCTGCAGCTTGCAAGGTGCTCTTTGACATCCTGCACAATTCGATCGATTGCTAAGCAGGATGGTTTTTTGACTTGGTTCGTCCCTTGTAGACGTGTCGATCATATCTGCACTCGGAAAAGCACCGCTTTTTCAGTGACCAAAAGTAGCAGTTTTTCTCGGGTTCAAGTACACTATCGGCTTCTGCCGACCGCCACTGTACGGAAAGTTGCTTTAGCACCAGCATTTTCCTCGACAATGGTTGGTGCCGCTCGTGGTTCTGTTGATTACTTTTTCTGCGGTCTTTTAAGAGCGTTACCGGAGTCCAAATCCAGTGAACTGATATTTTGCTCACTTTGTCTCCTTTTATACTCGGCAGTATCATGGATCCAGAAAAATTCATCGAGCTGCAAAAACAAATGCGAGAAAATAATGAGGAAGTGGCAGATTTTCTGAAAGACTTCAGTTCATGGAAGGAAACCGTTGAGGCCAAAGATGCAAGATTACAAAACAAAACGGTTGACACTGACAGTCTACCTGCTGTTCGTAACAGCTTACTCCGGAAACAGAGAAAAGTAAGTGAATTTTCTCTCGTATAATTTCATCAGCAGTTTTTTACAGAAACGTAAAAAAGTTGAACCCACCCCAAAAACGTCAGCGAATCGCATCAGGGGTTATGATTACCGAGCTTGGGACAAATTCGATGTTGATAAAGCCCTGAATGAAGTTGAAGATGATATAAAGGCAACTGATTCGGAAAGCAGTTTAACAGACGAAGAATTTGAAAACAGCCGCAGAATCAATCTTTCCAAGGAGGCCCGGGAGCTCGGAAACCTTCGTTTTAAAGTGAGTAAATTGATGACCCGTTGATTTTTACTCTGGGGGACCGACACACGATTACCATGTTCCTTCGGAATAAACCACGGCAAATGCAGTTTGTGCCTCTTGGGAGTTTTCCCGGGGGATTGAATACTAGGCCGTCGCCCACACGAAACGCTGTTGTGGTCTCTCTTCGACAAGGTGTATCTCAAAGAGGGGTTACCATATTTTTCGTTCGCTTATATTGTGGTATGAAGTGATAGTTATCATGTGTAATAACTGTATTTCGAAGAGGATAGTTGATGAACATACTGGTCTCGTGGTTGTTCTGATGTCGTTTAGCCGAAAAGGGCTGTCTTAATGGTTCAAATGGACTGGTATGCTGCTGACATGATATTGAACAACCTCACTGGCTTTCGTTCAACCGACCTAACTCAGTGGTCAGGAATTTTTGCTGGTAGGAAATGTCAGGTGGAAAATGTAGGCAGACTGGTGAAAACCATGCCTAAGTGCTTTCGTTCGTTTTGAGGAGTGCATGCCATTGCGATTCCTAACCAGGAATCGGTTTCAGTGTTGATGAGAAGTGACTTATGAGAGTTTTGCATCATTTTGGGCACGTTTCTTCATAACCTGAGATGATTGCTTCCAATATAGTTGTGCGTCGTTGCCAGCGAGATACTTATTTATAGTTTCTGTTTAGCTTGCCCACAGGCGTTTCGCGAAACCTGGGGTGACATTTTACTCTTCCTTTCCACTTTGGTTTCTTTCCAATACGGGTGATTTTGCATCATCATTCAAACCTGATTCTCTTTCCAATGCTTACTGTCCTGTTTCTCTGTGCTGTGTTTGAACTATATGTCGGTTTCAGTTACTTTTCGTTGTGGGCGACGCTCAGGATGAACACTATTTGAGATCCTACAATGATGTCGAGAAATAAGCTTGGGAATGTACCTACCTAAACATAATATTTAATTCTTATTTACGGACTTAAACTTCGTACCGAAAGTGGTGGGAGTGGTAGTCTGGGCTGAAAGAGAGGGTTGATTACATAGTTTTATCGTAGTCTTTTTTCGGCCTTAACTGGACTGTACATCTGGAACTTTTCAGGCAGTCAGCGTTTAGTAGGCGGATGTCTTTTTACTTTATCGCGTTGCCTCAATTTTCTAGAAATAAATGAGTATGGCCATTTGAGAAACACTGTAACCTCGATTGTGAATTAGGCTCTACTTGGTGCTCATTTAGTAGGTCGTGTAATAACTACCCTTTTTGGATCGAATAGTCTTTTACAAGGCAAAGAATTCTCCAAAAGGGACAACCATGGAGAAGGGAGGGTGTTTAGCCTATCCTGTGGAGACAATTTTCGTGGGTCTTATTCTAGGGAAAGCTATTCTGAACTTTTCGAGTGAAGGTTTCTCTCTTGGGAGGCTATCATATAATTTTTCATCGAATTCCGTGTACCAGAGCAGCGAAGCGCCATCACCTTCGAATTTTACATGTCCGACCATTCGACCAAGCTGCAGTTACACGTTTTCCGAATACTCATTCGAGCGAATTATTAACCAGTCTGTATCAAATACCGACATCATGGATGATAGAAGTAATACTCCCGTGCATCTCAAATTGTCAAGGTGTACGCTAAACCGATAGCTTCAAAGGTATAAACAACCGACAGTCTTAGAGGAAGTTGCAAAGAGGGCAACGTTTGTGGTGAAAGCTGTTTGAAAATATTTTGCCTCCATTTTTAGGCTGTCGGCTTGTTCTGCATATGTACACTGTACGGTAACTATGATCTTAAGAGTCATTCCAACGCCGTATCGAAGCCACCAATTCCGTCTACGTGGCATCGTATTGGCCAGGACAAAAGTAATATCAAAAGCTGGTCATTCATTATTACGGCCGATGCTGGTGACTACAATAACGGGGTCACCAGGTTAGCTCTGTTCCTCTAGCCCATTCAGGCGCATAGCTTATACTTATTGGGTTTGTAGTCCGTTTGACCCTCTACTTCGGCTGTTGATTCGATTATCAGTTCTGTACAACAAAGGCTCACTTACCGCCGTGATTGTTTACTTAGGAGGGGAATTACGTCGATGCCGTGGAACAATATACTACCGCCGTTCGTCTCACACCCGAGGACCCGGTCCCATTAACTAACCGCGCGTTTGCCCATCTCAAGCTAGAACGGTACGCCTCTGCGGAAGCGGATTGTTCAGCTGCACTTGCTCTGGATTCTAAGTGCATCAAGGCTCTGTTCCGGTAAGTTTATGCTAGCGGAGTAGCTACATCGATTAGTGATGTGGTCATTGTTTTCTCTGATATTCAACGCATAATCGGACTAAAGTCTAAACGCACGGCACTTTGTAGGTGCCGATAATTGCTGGTCCATCAGCACTACAGGACACATGTAGTTGTTCAATTGCAATCTGAAGAGAGCCTCTTTGTCAGCTGGCAGAGCTCCGGTTGCTGACAGGATGGGACCTTGTTTCCAGTCTTGCTTCTAACTTTTCAGTCTCTCGTGTTCAGCGCGAGTGACCCGACAACGTCTCATCCTTTACACTTCTAACGTACCATGTGGAACCCACGTCTAGAAAAGCTGCCACAGATGAATGACGGACTGTTGTCTAGCTAATCTTATTTCACATCTCAATGTACACTGATCCTCATAGGCCTCGATCCATTAATCATCATCATGAATAGTAACTTCATTGTTGACACTGATGCATCAGTGTCACATAATAACGTTTATCTAATTATCTTAATTCGTCTTAATTTAATTACCCTAAAATGGGGAATAGGAAAAGGTTGGACGGGGAGGAGACCTGGTGTTAGTCCGCCGCAAGTACTCTGAATTACCTGCACCGTCAAACACTTAATCGCACCATCTTGTCAGAAACTGGCCGTACGGATGCCTGATATCGGCTGGTCACTGTATATGATGGGGTGGCTCTAACCGAGCACAGGAAAGGTAGACTTAATGTGGCTGTGTGCCTATGTGTTTCCCTATCTGTGGTCCACCTCCTCAGGGCCCTTCCGGGCGTAGTACCTAGGTATTTTTGCTACGAACTTCAGCCTCCTGGTCACAGTTAACCGGGCTTTGGTGACTTTATATGTTTGTAATTTGTGATCTTTACCTCAATACCAGTCTGAGACACTTAAATATTGCAAACAAACAAAATCGGACGAAAGGGAATGGTGGATGACAGTAGGATTCAGGGAATCGAGCAACCAACTGGTTTGATGTACAATAGTGCATCCGGAGCATCAATCCACTGAAAAGGAATTACTAAGTTATGGTTTTCTTGCTGTTGCACTAGACAGATTTCGCATTAAGCAAGTTGTTTGCTTACCGGAAATGTCGAATATTTCCAGCAACTTTCAGTAGCAATTCGGTAACCACTATCTCACTTTACTCGCGTTTTAGTTTTGCTTAAGATGCTTCTCGTTTTTTTGGTTAGCTTTGGGGCTTACTTTGGAACCTTTGAAAACTTGGTTTGGTCTTGTTTCAGACGGGCTCTTGCAAGAAAGAATTTGGGCAAAACGGATGAGGCCATTTCTGATTTGGAGTTTATCCTTCAACTTGATCCTGACAACAAGGCGACAGTGAAAGAATTGTCTAGTCTCACTGGAAAGACTGCTGCCAATCCGAAGACAGATTCAACCCAGACAGCTTCGTTAGTCAGCACGGATCACAAGCGTCTAGACAGAGGTGCTCGACGTTTTAGACGCATCCCAATCGTGGAAGTAGGTGGCCATTCTAACGCGAAACAGGGGTCTAGTGCCAACGAAGAAACGGGTGATATTTTGAAAGGATCGTGCAGACCAGTTGGGGACACTCCTTTCGAAATGTTTCCATCCCCACCGATTCTAGACAGCCTCCCTAAGGAAAGGGCACCTTCAAATCCTGTGAATCATCACGACCCTGCAGTTCCTACATCGGGTTTGAAGATCCAGTTAACAGCAAATGGACCGAGTAATTGGTTCCAGTTAGAACGAGAATTGCGAGAATTATGTGGGCGGGCGAGAGACGCACTACCCAAGGCTGCAGTCGAGTACCTCTGTCGCATCGACCCGACACAATACCAGAATGTGATTGGTAGTAATCTGGAGACTGGTTTTCTGACACAAATGTTGCTTGCACTGACCGAAAACAATATTTTGACTCCAGCGGAGATTGCGTTGCGGTTAGATCATCTCTGTCGTTTGTCACGTTTCGATGTCGCGTGGATGATGGTTGACGACAGAAGTCGAGATCTGCTGAACCGTCTAGTCCTACTACTCCAGCAATGCGATGCGGTACCCCGAGAAAAGTTGAACCACATTCGCTCTCAATTTTCTGAACTGTGAGGAACCGGAATGGAGAAGGTTAACTTCCCTACGATTGGCGACTCTCTTGTCAATGTTGTATTTGTTTGCGGATCCATAAACGCATTTCCCACTTATTGTACAGATTCTCCACCAGTAGTGTGATTCATTCACAATTGTTTCATCGTTTAGCATAACCGCATCCTTATCCGGTTATTTGATTTGGTACTTTTGAGGGAACTCCATTACCGTCGCTGTCTGTTGCCAAAGTTTCAGTTCAGAATTACTATAATTGCCTCTGATCTAATGCGTTGCTCGACCAGTATTTCAATGATCTTTATCGGGTTTTAGCTCTGCGGTCCTCTGTAAGGGGATCTGGTTTCGTTGGGGTGGCAACCTGGCTTCTTCGAGGTTACTTGCTTCGGCAGGCAAATTAGCTACAAATTGCACGAGACTGTGTGGTTCCTTCATTTTTAGGTATTTTTTTCTCAGTGTCATGAGAGTTGTAGCGGAAGGTCCATGGTTCCAACCCAACCCCTGCATCTCGACTTCTCCTGTCCTTGCTTAGGCAACCTGGCAGTATCCCGTCCTTCCTGCTTAATTCGGGTGGTATGGCAGCCAGGCACCGGAAGGGTGTTACAGCTGAAAGATTTTTTTTCAAGGTGGTGTTCGGAATCTACGGATTGCATATCTCGACTGCCATTATTGAGTGATAGGGCACAATTTTTCGATAAACTTGGGACTAGTGGTTTTGCGTCCCCGTTCAACGTCGTGATGAATCCGGTCATCTGCCCAACTTACTCATGGACAGCAAGGAGAGCCGTGTAACGGACCCAAGTAGAACATCCGAACAGTACCGAGTGGGGGAGTTTTGCCGTGCAATTGATCGAATTCGGCAGTTGGTGAAATGCTCCAATTGATAGGCGAACTTTCACGAGTAAGACGCGGTTCTAGCTAGGGTTATACTGGGGTCTTATAATCGAGAATCGCTTGACCAGGAGACAACTTAAGGCATAAGAAGCGCTGCAAAAGTCAACGATTAACGCGAAATGTGAAGATACTAGATGGTAAAGGGCTGTAAGAACCATCCTCTTTTCAGCTTCTCGTGTTACTGTTTTACTCGCTTAGTATGTCTCAGAACCGTCGGACCTAGAACGCGAGCTTTTAAGCAAAAGGTCCGTCGTCCGAATAACTTGAGATTCTAGTTAGGACCGTCTAGGTTTGGGTTGGGACTCTGTTGATTTGTGCGGCAGCTATGCACCAGATGAATGCCATGGGTGAACGACTGTTAGCGTAGAATACACATGCGCAAAGTCTTTAATTGTGGAGGACGTCGAACAGCGAAGCTGAAAAGCGCATCGATAAAGGCTTTTAAAGTACATTTCTACTGTTCGGCTAAAGATGCACCAGTTATCATGATGGGGTTTAGTAGGCAGTTTTGAAGGTACAAATAGGAACAGGATGAATGTGTCGAAACGTTAATCCATGATACTAGATTCTCGACCGCCTGTCTTTATAGAATTCTATGCACTAAAGGCGTTATACATAAAAAATAAACATACATTCATAGGCGGTAGCTTAGACGTTGATTGTCGTTAATCACTTTTTGACGATCTAGAGACACATGAGTGTAGGGCTGAGCACAGATTGCCACTTAATAGGTCAGCCCAATCGTTTTATGAATCGCCACTCCATAGACTCACCCGCGCACTGACTATGTCCCCTCGACTGGGGACGAAACGTTTCAAGCCAAGTGCCAAGTTCAGCGAACAGATCACTAGCCATCTGATCAACCAGCTACCTTTATCATGTGTCCGCTACTCCCTGCTCAAGTGAACACCAGATGATTACGAAACATCTCGTGGGATGACTAATAAGGACCATATCGCATGCGCCCTGCACCTGGGTTTTGAAACCATTGTTTGTATCTGGTTGTTTTCAAAAGGCCCCGTGAGTGTCAGATGGCTTTTTTGCTTCATGTGCAATGGTCTCCATGGTTGTTCAACAATATGGCACATCAGTACCTGGAACGTACTGCTGAAGCATGCAGGACCTAAGAATATCGTTTACCGCTCGTCACAGCTTACTACGAACGACTGGTTTCAAGTTCTTCATTTACTTGAAGTATGGGCCACAGTTTCTCCCGGATTTTCACCCTAATATGGCAACGAAATTTTGTATTGTTTGTACGAAGTCGTAGGATTTCACATACACTGATTGATTTCCTTATGAAAATCATGGATAATATATATCACCTACTCCACCAACAGTAAGGCTACTAAACAAGGATTCAAAACCAAACGAGTACAGTGCCTTGTTCCCTACACTAATCTGGATGCATTCAACAAATTTAAGCATCACGTAGCCGTCTTGAATCTGACAGATTTACTCAGCCATTGTGCAAATGGAGATTCGGGTACTGATAAAATAGTACGTAAATTCACAACGGATTTGTGGGTTTTAGGTAGTTTACTCGAGTTTGCTGGGTTTCGAATACAGATGGAGACAGGTGTGTCAATGTGTTCTTGGCTACCAAGTCCACTTTGCAACTTTTTCAAATAACCACTGATAACGACCTCGACTTTTCAAACCGTCATTTGCTTCTTCATCAACCCGAAACTCTTTTTCTTCGAAAAGAATATGGGGCATTGCAACCTTAACTATCCACTAGGTGAACGTGGAACTCTGTCCGGCGGTAGACCGAGCAACTGACTTTCTTCTCGGACTGTACAATGCTCGGCTTAATGGACATGTTTGGTTCTCAGAAGTTTGCTCATTCTCATTGGTTAGATCTATCAGCCTTAGTGTTTGAGCAATTCAGCTACAGTTTCCGGCTCTGCGAATATTAACTGGGTCGCTTCTGTGTGCTGGTGCGCAGAGTTTCCTTTTATACGTCGCTCAGCACGAAATTGGGTCGACTGAGGCTACGTTTGTTCGGCTTTTAGATAAGCCTAAAAAGGATTTAGAGGGATCTTGGGAGAAATCGAATGGTTGCTTACTTTCAGCTCGAGGGAACAAAACACTCTGTAGTGAAGTTGTTAGATTCGTTTTATTAATGAGGCAATTTGGTTGTTTAGGTTGCATAGGCGGTCTTTTTTTCACTGAGCTTGACGACTGGATCACAATCTTCAACTGTGCGCAACCACTGACGCACCACTTCATTTCACCACAACACAGTACTGATCATTCCACCTCAGTTGGTATTTTTCGGTGGTGGTGTTTAAAACCTAGGTGCAAAGCTCAGCGAACAACCCAACGACGAAAAATTTAGCTTTAACTAGAGTTTCAGTGCGAACTTACTAAAAATGATCTTGTTAAGGCAGATTATGGATAAGTAAATGTCAATGTAGTCATCATATACCTTCACCTGAACAGACATAGGGCATACAATTTCATATGCATTTTGCGTAGAATCAGTCCCTGATCGGCAAACAGTGATGTGTTTGACGCTTATTTTTCCATCTGGTACAGCTCTCAGTCTGTGCGGTTAGAACTTATGTCCGATTGACGAAGAACACTAGGTTGGTAGATTGACTCGGCCATGCCAAGTTTTGTCAAGTCACAGCTCAATATCCACCAACCTTTCAGTTTCAATAGGTGCCTACCAGTGATCATGACAGCGATGCTAATTCGGCTCATTTGTTATAGAACCGAGTTAAAGTAAGAACTATCTTATATTACTAGGTGGAATCGGAAAACATACTCTTTTAAGTTGTTTCAGATTCCTCCTATACACCGGTCAAACCTAGAAACTGTGTTCTCTGCAAAAGCACCGCGATGCACAAAGACTACCGATATTAGGAAGATCTTTTTGAAGTTATGTAACCAGTTGTAACAGACAACTTTTTTCAGCGGATCAACCATCTCTTGGACGTTAGATTAAGTGGAGTACTTCGACGAATAGCATTGAACCGTTGGGGATAAAATAAACTAAGAATAAATATCTTGTTGATTAACTCAGGACAAAGTCAACTCCTGTGAGTTTCTTTAAGGGAGCATTTGATTTCGAGTGCTCTGCGGAATGCAAGCTAATGTGCTTGGTCACTGTAATGCTTGCTTGAATTAACATCCCGTTCAATGGCTGTCTTAATTTGTTTTAGATGCTACCAATCTGAACTGGTGTTTTCTCATAGAATGGAGCGTCTGGCTTCTCAAAAAATAAGATTATCTGACACTTCATGCAAAGTTTGTTCGCCACAATAGATGCGGACGCATTTTTGACAGGCAGGTCATGTGAACTCAGACTCTGCTAGTTTTTGGATTTCAACTTCTGGATTACTCCTGCACCTGAAATTTGCCTACTGTCGTCCACATAATAAAAGAGAGACTACAGACTAACATTCAGGTGCCATATCAGGCAAAAGTTCTGCCATCAAACAATCACTTAAGGGCTGCATATTCTTAATGGATGTTTCATCCTGTAACTGAAGCCAGTATATACTGAAAAGCCGGAATTCACTGTACATCTGTTTCATCCTTGTTGGGATTCCTCAGCAGTGCGCATCTGACGAAACACTAAAGGGTCCCAAACTCGTGACCTCCTGGATGAGAGATTGAAAGCCTGAGCGTGCGGCTACGAACGGCTGGTAAAAATCCCAAATATCACTATCTACTGCATATCTAGACTTAATACACTACTCGTAAGGTTGTTGAATATTCTTCGACAGCCCACGACCGCTTTCGTCCTAACTGAGGCTCATCAGGTAGGCGCATTCCCCGGGTCTCCGTCAAACTTATGTTTTACTTGAACCCGAATTGCACTGTTTTCGAGAAATACACTCATTTGCAAATCAATTTGGTTTTCACGAGAGACTCAACTGAATCTCTCCTTAATGGTATTTTACAACTGAATGTGCTGCACACAGGCCGCCTCATGTTTCAGTTGGCACGATATTCGAGATATCACAGTATATTTTCATAAAGGAAACTACTCGCAATGTTGCTGAGAACTCTTCGACAGCCGACGACCGGTTTCGCCCTTCTTGGGGCTCATCAGGTAAGCGCAGTCCCCGAGTTTCCTTCAACATTATGTTCTACTTGAAACCTAATTGCACGAAATTAGCGAAGTACACATTTGCAAACAAATTTCGCTTTGCGAGAGATTCACCTGGAACCCAGCCGAATCTCTCGTTTGTAATGTTTCCAGTGGAACATAAGGTTGACGGAAACTCGGGGACTGCGCCTACCTGATGAGCTCCAAGAGGAGCGAAACCGGTCGTGGGCTGTCGAATAATTTTCAGCAACCTCATGAGCAGTGTATTACGTCTACACATGTATCGTGATATCTCGAATGTCGT